GTCTTGCTTTGTAGCTGCGCCTTTACCGACTGAGCTAAGGGAGGCCCCTCTGGGCGATCCGGAACATCCATAAAAGTGGTCAATTCGTAAAAATGGTCCAAATATCGTTCTTCGTATGCTCTTCTTATAAAAGTTGCGCACCAAAATGCATAAAGGCATTTTCGGATGACCATCTGGATTACTAGATTACATATTTTAGCTTGTGAATGAATCAAAAAATGTTGAAACCTTTAAGAAGATTGATAGAAATTTGGGGAAGTTTAAAGATTTTTAAGAGGAAGTTTCGACAGCTCCAGGGCAATTTAATGGATTTTAAGAATTTTTTGACAGTTATATTTAATTCAGGGTAGTACCAAAAACTTCATGAGAATTGAGAGTACTTCAGGAACAAAATAAATAAATAAATAAAAAAAATAATAAATAAATGAATAAACTAATTTTATGGAAATTCAAGAATGTTTAAGAAGTTCTAAGAAACTCAGGGAATTTCCGAAAGTTCATCAAAGTACCAAGATCTTCATCTAAATTTCAGAAACATAAGTAATCTTACATGAGCATCAGGAAAATGTGAGATCATTTTAAGGAAGTTCCATGGTAAAAAAAAATGCAAGAACTTCAGCGATGATAAAATTATGTTCAAGAAAACTTAGAGATTTTTTTAAAATGTTCATAAATCTTCAAGAACGTATAGAGACCTTCAGAGAAGTATATTGATTTTTTAGTAGTTTCGGTATATTCTGGGAAGTTCCCGGAACTTCGTTGATGATTAGAGATCTTCATATCAGTTTCATTTATTTAAGGAAAATTGCAGTATATTTCAATGAACTGAAAGGAATTATGGGATATTTCAATAATTTCATGAATTTTGCAATGCTTCAGTAACAATGCGAGGTCTTCAGTCGGAACAATAAAAAAATTAATGAACTTCAGGAAAGATTCAAAACTTCAGGGAAGTCCAAATAAAACTAGGATTTTTACGCGAATTGACTACTTCTGTGGATGTTCAAAATCTTCCAACGAATGACACCTCTACCTAATTGCATATGCTAGTCTTAGATCCTAATTCATAAATGTAGCTTCAGAAAAAGGGAATCGTGAAGCTCTTGAATCTTTTTTATCACTTTTACGCATGGTCCGGACCTCCCAAAGACCGAATTGTGGCCAGCAGAGTCCGCATGCTGGTCCCAGATCCAAATTCATTAATGTAGCATCAAAATAAGCGTTTTAAAAAAATACGGAACGTTCCATGGCCACCACAGTGCACATACTAGTTTCAAATCCAAATTCATTCATGAAGCATAACAACAAGTTGATTAAAAAGATCTCGATCCTTTTTTACTAATTTTCTACATTTACATTGTAATTTGTAACATTTTCTAAGCATTTCCACCGGGCCTCAAATAAACATTCCTAAGAAATCCAAATGCAATAAACTTGTTTACTCGGTCAAGCGCAAGGCAATCAACAACGCACGCAGACGGCGCAGTGCATAGCTTAGCATACTTGCAATAATCATAATCGATTGCGTGTGACTATTACCGTAAATAACAGGAAGTAATCGAATGAAAATAGCAACATAAGACTTGCGAAAGTTAGAATATGATTCAGCATAAAAACAAGATTGAATTCTATCAGCGCAATTGGTTAATTATTAAAACTAACTGAAACTGAAATATACAATTATTCTACAATCGCAAATCAGAGCTTCATAACCTTCGAATGCCAGTTCAGCTATATTTGTCAACTCGCTGTTCACCGAGAGGCAGATTGTTATTTCCCGCACTTGAATAGCAACCCCCAGTGTGGTTACTGTGTTATGGAGGAGGTTTCTAAAATAGCTTTAGCAAGGCATTGATGCGGGTGCTCTTACCAACGCAAAGCACACGCTGCACGGTGTATATAGTGTGTAAATCCCTCTTAGCTACTCCTCTTTTCCCTCTACTCTGACGTTATCTGCTAGCTATGACTAACTCGACTATTTTGCAGCATGGAAGCGATTTGACAGACCCTTTTGTAGACGAACATTTCGGCTGCTCTTCCTGTTCCACTATTCTTGCATAATCAGATTTCATCGAGCTCCGATCAGATCTACGGTCTTGCCAGAAAACACTGTGGAATGCAAATCTGCGTACGAGCTGGAAAGTGATGTCTGTGCGAGAGAATATAGATTCATTCCATATGTCCGCTCTTCTGATTAGTTCGTTAAATATTCCTATTTTGTTTGTTAAATTAACACTATTTTCACGATTTATACTATACACCAAAACATTGATAAATAGTGTCTCTCTCGAACGACATACTGCATGACATATTTCCCGTAAACGGTTTTGAGATATATGCGTTTGAAAACACTCCCCATTTTCGTTTCAAACCTCATTTTCAATTTCGTAATGTGACCCCCAGTATAGTAAAGAAAGACTTAGTCCTACGTCAAAACATCTTTTGGGAGCTTTTACTCCGTCTTCATTCACTGACCACTAAAGACTAATTACATTTTCAATCTTATGCTTGTAAGAAGGTACTCCTTTTGATGAATGCGTAGTATGTTTAGGTTTACGCTCTGGCGCTGGATATCGGAAGTCGCTCCTCTTTTATATATTCTGCACAAAAATTACTTTCTACCCCACCCCATTCATAAACAATCGTGGGACATCCAGTTAGGGGCAGGGCGTCGTAGAAAGTATGTTGTGCACAATATATAAAAAGGAGGGACTTTTGATGTTAATCTATATGTATCTATAGAGGTACCAGACATGTTTTGCGCTGTACTGTCCTCTATGAATAATTAACGGCAAACAGATTATGCGTAGTTTCCGATAGATGTCCCTACAGATAATAGCAGTGGCACCTGATGGCAAATTAATGCAGAAGCTCGACAAAATGGTTGATTGCAAGATTTGCTGGTCACAATCTACAATGCTACAATCTGTAAAAGAAGCCTGGAACGAGAATTTTTGGCTAATGCAGTGCGTAAGTGGGAAGTGAAAGCAAATTTTAACAAAAGTTTGCAAATTATTGAAAAAAAAATGATTCTAATTTTCATGAGATCGCATCGTATCATCAGTAATCTACACTGGTTGGATATAGATCGATATGTTTTTCGCGAAAAAAAAAATCCTTATTTAGACGTAAACGATTCATCACTTACTTCTTTAACACGCATTTATCAAAAAAAATAATAATCGATATCTACGCTGAAGAAGCTTAATTAAATAAGTCGATTTTATACGATAAATTCTCAGTACAGTAAGGATCTGATTTTGGCAACACGCTTTCGATATCTTTAATTTGCATGTGCTCTGCAACTCTTTTTAATATTTTTCGGTAATTTTGCAGCTTTGGGCGTGATCAGATAATCAGCTTAGCAATTATTAAAACCTGTGGAAAGCTAAGAATTCAAAATTTATGTGTTTGCAAAATAGAATTGGTTTAATTGCTGTTTAGTGTATAAGTTGGGGTTTTCGTCGATTTTTGGCAATTTTGAATATCTCTCAAAACATTTAATCATGTTGAAACTGCTAAACTTTTTTTTTAAACAGAAAACCTTCTCCTGCTATGATTCATTTAGCATGTTAAATTTAGGTCGAAGCTAAAAGTGACATTTGAATATTTTTTTTCATGTAAGAAAATTCCAGTTTTTGTGCATGGTTGTTAAAAGTTACCTTTTTGTCTGTCAGTAATAATCACGCTCGGGTATCAGGGTTAATGAATAACTTTACATCTGTCACTTTTAACAACAAGTTAATTTTAATCCAGCAATTGAGGACAGCTCCAGGGATCAAATAAAAATGATTTCAGCTTGTATTCTATTATTTTAGCCTGTTGTGTTTCGATTACCATGTGTTCGAGCCGTTCGCAAACGCCGCGTATGAAGGAAATTATTTGACAGTGTATCACCCGGCCTGCAGCCTGCTGAGATGCACGAATAAGCAACGTGCCGCTACACGAACGTCGAAACAAAACGAGAACGAGATAGCACGAACGGGAGGAGAAATTCTACGAGGAGATGGGAAGCCATTATTGTCCGAAGCTTCCACCAAGTGAAGATCATGTTTGGTCATGTGAGAGCAACAGTAGGAAATAAATGTAAATAAGTGTATATATAGTGGTTTAAAGAACAGTTAAAACTAACATGTGTTTTCATTCGAGATTCCGAAACCCTGATAGGAAATGGTTGTCTTTTGGAGTGTCCACCAGTTTCCATTAAGAAAAGGTTAAATGCATACAGTCCACTCGCGAACATTTTGGTCCTGCAAACCGGATAATGCAGTGTTGCTCCGAAAGTTCCGGATTCCGGATGAAGAACTGGTAGTGGAATAGCGAAGATTGGACGCGAAAAACATTGAGAAAAATTGATGGTGTGAACACATGGATTCCATCGTAAATTTTGTGAACTAAATGCGATGACGCCATTTTGTGAAGAGTGAAGAAGAAGCTGGCAGTCGCCATTTTGGAAAGTGAGAATGGTGAAAACCATTTAAACAACAAGCAAGTGATTAAGTGGTTGCAGAGCCGTGGGAAGTTCCCACAAAAAAGTGAAGTTAGTTTTGAAGCCAGTTCCAGTTTTGGCCATCCGTGTACGCCAGATCCGGTTGCGTGAGCATAGACTTGGCTGTGTTCCCAACCACCGTCGAGCATAAGGCTTGAAATGTTGTGGTGTCCACGGTGGCATGTCGGACGATAGTGCTTCGAAACCTGTACCCGGAAACTCTGGAGTTAGTTCGGCACTTGGGCAGTCTACTCTGGATTCCACCACTCCGTTGAGCAAAAAGCAGAAGAAGCAGGTTAAGCTGGCAGAAAAGATTGCAGCCATGGAAAAGGAGCAGCTGGAGAAACTCGTCCACCTCCGAGGCGTGGCAAAAGGTAAATTAACACGATTACTTAATGCTATCCGTCCTGATGAAGGAGAAGTGGTCCAGCTTACTGAGGCTGAGACAAAAGTCTACCTGAAGAAGTTGGAAGAGGCCCATAAAGGTTAACAAAATATACACGATCAGATAATGGCAATTGTTTTGGTTGACGATCGTGAGCACCACGATCAGGTGTACGAAGAATACGACATCCTCCACGACATCGTTTCCATCTTGCTTGAGGAGCAAGTGACAAGAATCGATACTGCCAAAGCTGCAGTCAGATTTAATGACATTCCGAATCGTCAAGCACCGGTTGTGATTCATCAGCCACTTCGGATGCCCATCCCTACATTCGATGGCCGGTACGAGAGCTGGCCGAAGTTCAAGGCCATGTTCAAGGATCTGGTGGAAAAGGGTTCAGATACACCGGCAGTAAAGTTGTACCATCTGGACAAAGCCTTGGTTGGCAGTGCAGCTGGGCTCATCGATGCCAAGACAATCAACGAGGGCAACTACGTCCACGCTTGGACAATTCTGGAGGAAAGATATGAGAACAAACGCCATGCAATCGATTGCCATATCCTTGGTCTCGCCCTTGGTCTTGGGCGGATGACAAAGCGGAGCCATGTGGAATTAAGGAGCCTGGTGGACGAATGTTCCAAGCATGTCGAAGGACTGAAGTTCCTGGAAAGACCGTTCGATGGAGTAGGAGAGGATTTCGTAATCCATCTGCTTGCTTCAGCATTGCACCATGATGTACGTCATCTTTGGGAATCAACCATCAAGCACGCGGAGTTGCCCAATTACGACGAGATGCTGAAGTTCCTGAAGGAGCAAACGTTCATACTGGAAAGGGTTGAAGCCAGCAGTCAGAAACCAGTTTCAGTTCCAGCCAAGCCATCGCCTTCAACCAACAGGCCGTCGGTGCAGAAAGCTCACGCAGCAGTTTCATCAAGTGAAACGGAGATGAAGTGTGAATTTTGCGGAAAGGCATACCAGAACTTCGCCTGTTCTGAGTTCAAGTCACTTTCAGTGCCGCAAAGATTAGTCAAGGTACGTGAGCGAAAAGTTTGTTTCAACTGTCTTCGGCGCGGCCATAGGAGTGTAGACTGTTCGTCTGAGAAAACTTGTCAGAAGTGCAAGCGTCGGCACCATAGTCTCCTTCATGCCGAAGAAAAACCTAATCCAGTAGTGGAACCACTCAGCAATCCATCTTCAAAACCAGCAGAGCAGAATGTTCAACCGTCGACATCTGTTCAGACAACAGCTACGTGTTCGAACGTGGCCACCCGTACGCAGCAAGTGTTGCTGCTTACAGCTGTAGTAGATATTTATGATAAAAGCTACAAACCACACTCATGCAGAATTTTACTGGACAGTGCATCGCAAGTCAATTTGCTAACATGTTCAATGGTCAATTTGCTGGGCTTGAAGCAAGAATCGTCGAACGTCATCGTAGCTGGGGTGAATGGAACAAAAACCCACTCATCCAGCAGCAGCATGGTTCATCTGTCGTCGAAGTACACGGATTTCCAAGCCAGGGTGAAGCCTGGTAACTGATAAGGTGACAGCAGATCTGCCTACATCGGGTATTAATATAAGCTCGTGGGAGATTCCAGCTGGGCTGCACCTGGCAGATCCCGAATTCTTTCGGTCCAGTGAAGTGGATATGCTCCTTGGTAACGAATGGTTCCTTAAGTTGTTGCTGCCTGGCGAGATCTTGTTTGCCGACAATCTTCCAATGCTACGCGAAACCCAATTTGGCTGGGTTGTTGGTGGTGTATACGATGAAGGTGATCGTTCTGACGGGATCGTTTACTCGCACTCCGTCACGTTGGATGAGTTGAGTCAGTCCATTCAGCGGTTTTGGGAGGTCGAAGATATCGGTAGTGCTTATCAGTCCAGCACCGAAGAAGACGAATGCGAACTGCATTTACAAGCTACCCATCGTAGAGATGCATCCGGGAAGTACATAGTCGAGTTGCCTCTGAAAGAGACCGTCAGCGAGTTGGGTGATTCTAGGTCGCTGGCTTTGAAAAGGTTTCGTTCACTGGAGCGAAAGCTCTCGCAGTGCCCAGATTTGAAGAAGCAATATCAGGATTTCATGGAGGAGTACGAAGTTCTTGGTCACTGTAAGGAAGTCGATGAAAGCAAGGATCCACCAGGTACCATTAAATGGTACTTACCACACCATGCAGTTCTGCGACCATCGAATACCACTACCAAGTGCCGCGTGGTTTTTGATGCGTCTGCAAAGGTGTCTGGTAGCTCGCTCAACGATGTGATGAAGATTGGTGCCATCAGTCAAAGCGATCTCCAGGCAATTTCTATACGATTCCGCATACCTCTTCATGTGTTGGCTACTGATGTCGCCAAGATGTACAGGCAGATTTTCATCGACTGGCGGTTTACTCCGCTATTCCGGGTGTTCTGGAGGAAAGATTCTTCAGAGCCTCTCCGTGTCCTAGAGTTGACAACAGTAACCTACGATACGGCTTCTGCCCCATTTTTGGCAACGCGGGCACTTCTGCAATTGGCAATCGACGAAGGTGGCAAGTACCCTCTGGCGGCTGACATAGTGAAGAACAGTTTTTATGTGGATAATGCGTTATTCGGGTTTGATGACTTGAATGATGCTGCGGAAGCCCAATCCCAGCTGATCGATCTACTGGAAGCCGGTGGATTTCATCTGCATAAGTGGGCATCGAACAATGTTGAGTTGCTGAATAAGATTCCGGAAAGAGATCGTGATGAACTGGTCAGCATTGATGAGTGTAGTGCAAATGAAGTGATAAAAACGCTGGGACTCTTGTGGAACCCTGCTTCGGATTCTCTGCAGTTTATTTCCCTTCCAACGTCGGACGTGAAGTGTCCGACTAAGCGGCAAGTGCTGTCGCTAGTGTCGAGAATGTTTGACCCTCTGGGTCTAGTGGCGCCGGTTATTGTGATCGGAAAACTTTTGATGAAGTCTATCTGGAAGGAAGAATTGGATTGGGATGAAGTGCTCAAAAACGATATGAAGAAGAAATGTGACTATTTCCTGAATGCGTTGAATGGTGTTACCAATCTCCGAATGCCTCGTCAAATGGTGGTTACTGGTGCTTCTGCTTATCAGTTGCATGGATTTGGTGATGCAACGCTAGAAGCATACGGCGCATGTACCTCAGGTCTGTCGTATCTGGTCATACTGCAGTCGTAAGATTGTTGTCTGCCAAATCGAAGATTGTGCCGAAGTCAGTCCTCACCATACCAAGAAAGGAGCTGTTGGCGGCTCTGCTACTCCATCGGCTTGTGAAAAAAGTGATTGAAGCCCTGGCACTTCATTTTGAAGACATCGTTTTGTGGTCTGACAATCAAGTGGTGCTAGCTTGGCTAGCGAAGAATCCAAACAATTTGGAAGTGTTTGTGCGCAATCGTGTCGGTGAGATTACCTCTACTGGAAACCAATTCAAGTGGAAGTATGTAAATACGCTGGAGAACCCAGCCGATGTAGTGTCCCGTGGCCAATCCGCTGATAATCTTGAGAAGAATGATCTTTGGTGCAATGGGCCATTGTTCCTGCGTAGTGAAGACTATCAGATGGTGGTTCCAACACCTCTGTCTGATGAAGAAGTTCCGGAGTTGCGTGAAGCTACTGTTGTTCCTGCGGTGGTACAGTTGGATCAGTTGCCAGTGTTTCTGAAGTTTGAGTCGTTCCGGAAGCTGCAACGTGTTTTGGCATACGTTCTGCGCTTTTGCCGAAACGCTAAGGAGAAAGTGAAAGAAAAAAGAATCATTCAATGTTACACAACCATGTTCGAATTACGTCAGTCGTTGAAGGTAATTGTCCGGGTGATTCAATTGCAGCACTTTGGTGAAGAAATTATCAACATCGCGTCTTGTGAGTACTGCAAAAGGCTTTCCAAGCTAAACCCATTTTTGGATGATGGTTTGATTCGTGTTGGTGGACGACTGCGTCATTCAAGTTTACCATACGGAGTGATGCACCAGTTGGTTTTGCCAAGCCATGAATTAATCGTCCAGAGCTTGATTGTTGCGTTGCACCGTGAGAACCTTCATGCTGGACCTTCGGCGTTGCTCGCTCAGCTTCGTCGACAGTTTTGGGTTTTGGGAGCTCGATCTGCTGTGCGTAAGGTAACTCGAAATTGCGTGCGGTGTTTTAAGATCAAACCGCCGATAGCCAACCAGTGTATGGGCGATCTTCCCGTCGCTCGTTGCGATAAGGCACCCGCTTTCCTCAAGGTTGGTGTCGATTTCGCTGGTCCGATGCTCATCAAGCAAACTGGCAGAAAGGCGGCACCTTTAAAAGGATACATAAGCGTATTTGTGTGTATGGTGACGAAGGGAATTCATCTAGAAGTTGTTGAAAATCTTTCGTCTGATGCCTTTATTGCCGCTTTACATCGGTTTGTATCTCGTCGTGGAGTACCTGAGGAAATATTTTCCGATAACGGGACCAACTTCATTGGTGCTCGGAACGAGTTGAACGAACTCTGTCGGCTCTTCAAGCAGCAGGTGACCGAGCAGAAGATTTTCGAGTTCTGCCATATCCGACAGATTCAGTGGAGCACGATTCCCCCAAACGCACCGCACATGGGAGGAATCTGGGAAGCTGGAGTTAAGAGTACGAAGACCGTATTGAAGAAGATTTGCCAGTCGAGCCTACTCACAATGCCGGAGTTCTCGACTTTGCTCTGCCAGATTGAAGCGCAGCTTAACTCTAGGCCTTTGTACGCACTTTCCGATGATCCGTCGGAGCCTGAACCGTTGACACCAGGTAATTTTATGATTGACCGACCATTGACTGCCATCCCGGAGCCAAGTTACGAAGGAATCCCAGTCAACCGACTCTCCAGATGGCAATACGTCCAGCGCCTTCGTAGTGATTTCTGGAAACGCTGGTCCCAGGAGTACCTGTTGGAGTTGCAGTTACGCCAAAAATGGACAAAGAAACGAGGTAACATCAATCCGGGAATGGTCGTTCTAATCAAGGACGACAACTTACCTCCTCAGTATTGGAAGATCGGGAAGGTTGAAAAAACCTATTCAGGAGCAGACGGAATGGTTCGGATGGTAGATGTCCAGACCAAGGACGGACTGCTGAAACGTCCAATCCACAAGCTGGCTCCTCTCCCCATACTTGACAATGCTTCTACTTCCAAGGCTGCCAACGATAATAATTGCGGAGCTCCCGGGGGGAGGATGTTCGAGCCGTTCGCAAACGCCGCGTATGAAGGAAATTATTTGACAGTGTATCACCCGGCCGCAGCCTGCTGAGATGCACGAATAAGCAACGTGCCGCTACACGAACGTCGAAACAAAACGAGAACGAGATAGCACGAACGGGAGGAGAAATTCTACGAGGAGATGGGAAGCCATTATTGTCCGAAGCTTCCACCAAGTGAAGATCATGTTTGGTCATGTGAGAGCAACAGTAGGAAATAAATGTAAATAAGTGTATATATAGTGGTTTAAAGAACAGTTAAAACTAACATGTGTTTTCATCCGAGATTCCGAAACCCTGATAGGAAATGGTTGTCTTTTGGAGTGTCCACCAGTTTCCATTAAGAAAAGGTTAAATGCATACAGTCCACTCGCGAACACCATGTTTTCAGTATATTTGTAAATAACTATTATTTTCAACTATTTTTCTGTTCGTAGGGCTTAGATCTAATTTTGGGCCGACTAAGCACAACCAGTCCTTTACCTAGAGCTATTTGTCGAGCGGTTTTTTAACACAAAATGTAATGTTTTTGCTGCATTCTAAATTTATTATTATTATTATTAAATTCGGAAGGGAAGTAAAGCCGTTGGTCCCCGGTTCATGAGTTGATGGGTCGATAGGTAGGGTCCAGGTGTGGGAGCTGCCTTCCTGGCACGTCGGTAGCATTGGTGCTCAGCACGGAAAACAAGATCGACGGAAAAAAAAAAAACTAATTGTTGAAATATTTAAAAAAAAAAACCTAACACTGTTTCTTGACCCCAAACTCGGCCTACGGATTTTAAATTTGGCCTAGCGCATTGAAAAGCCATTGAATCGCCATTAAATTCACTTCGGCCTATCGGAAGAAGATAAAAATTGATTCGTTCGTAGCGTTTCTTTTGTTTTTTGAGAATTATGGCTGCAATCATTCATATCACGCGTTTTTATTGACTTCGTTGTGTAGCTTTTGAATTAAAGAACCATGCCAAAGGCATAATTGACGTGTTCACGTGCAAAACATGTCTGGTACGTCTGTATATGCATTTAGATTAATATTCAAAATCCCTCTTTTTTACATATTCTGTACAAAATATACGAAATCCCTCCTTATTTACACATTCTGCACACATAATAGCTCATCCCTCACAAGATTTCCCGCTGATTTTTATGAATGGGGCGGGGCAGAAAGTATCTTTTGTGCAGAATATGTAAAAAAGGAGAGACTTCAAATATTAATCTAAATGCATATACATGAACGAAAAGGTCTATGAATTATTTATTATTACAACTTCTTTTGACCTGAATATACATCAAAAGCATATTATTTCCACTTTAACAAATTTGTAGGGATTTTTATTACTTACTACCAATGGGACAGCGCCATTTGCCTGAAAAATAGCCTTGACTAATTGGTTAATTGTACCGACCAATCGCAGTCCTACGTCAACCTTCCGTAAGTGCCCTAGGCATAGACTCTTCTACTTTTTACATATCAGTGGAAGAAAATTCTTAACTGACCCTATTTTCTCGAGGTTCTAGAAGGACATTTTTCCACGATGAAGTTCAAGTGATAGGAAACGTCATTTTAAATTGAATAATGTAATCCATTTATGATCTTAAAAATGTGGAATTTTATTATGTTTTAAAATATGATTGATCAAAAAATAATTAAACAAATACTTTTAAACATCCAACATTCAGCACCAGATTTAAGGGCATATCGTCAGCTTTAACCACACAACAAAACAAAACGAAAGGGTGTCTTTTAACATAAATAATAATTTAATGTTAAACAGATATTTTTATTACCTATACCTATAGATCGAATATACTCTTTGCAAGATATGATTTTATATAATGAAAAATCCTACGAAATGGAGTCGGTTTTTACGGTACCTACCAAACAAAGTTGATAAATTTACAATCTAAAATATGTTTTATGTTTAACTCATGCTGGGGCTAATTTTTTTTTTTTTATTTCTGGATTTATACCAAAAATTGTGATTTTATAAAATACAGGCACGATTTCTATAGTGCGGGTTCGTTCTTGCTGGATTCCTATAGTACTGATGCCACTGGATTCCTATAGTGCGGTCGATCCGGCATTAACGAATACACGTACCATATGGGAATTGAGCTAATTGGGACAAAACACTGATTGTACGGCAATTCGAAGAGATCACTTCCTGAAGTCATTGGAGAAGTTGTAAAGCAGATAGTTGGCCACCTTTTGGGAAGAGTCAGTTTTCGGGAGGACACAAGTCTGGTCCTGTGGAAGATCCGGAACATTCGTAAAAGTGGTCAATTCATACAAATGATCCTAGAGCTCCACGGCTTTTTAGAAATCACTCATAGGCGTCTTATCACAATAATTTCGGAGAAATGACCAGCAAATGGACGCTGGGGACCACAGGATGGTCCACTAAAAGATCCGGAACATTCGAAAAAGTGGTCAATTCATGAAACTGACCCTAAAGCTCCGCGTTTTTTTCTAAACCACTCATAACGTTGTATCACAATAAATTTGGAGGTGTGGCCAGAAAATGTATACTGAGAACCACGGGATGGTCGAAAAAATACGGAGTTCTTGGATCAGTTTCATAAATTCACCTCTTTTACGGATGTTTCAGATCTTTCGGAGGACCATCCACTGCACAATGGTCCCAAAGCCGTATTTAGGAAGACAAAAATGTTTGCGCCAAAACCGTCAGTTTTAGGTATACAGTGTCTTCGGGAAAGTTTCTTTATATTTTTTCGCCAATCCTTTTATGTTAGTGAAATCAGGGTGGTCCACAAAAATGGTGCTTAAAAAATACAAACTTTTTTTTAATATTATTATTTGAGATAGACCAATGCAAAGCTCTAAGAAGTCGTAGAACAATCAATTCGAAGCAACTTTTATCTCTTGTGGCTCATGAGTTATGATTATTTTAAGCAAGCAGGTTAGGGTGGCCCCTAAAAAAAAGATTTCTATAAATATCTTTTCATAAGTTCATTCCTGGTAAAAACGTTGTTTTGTCCACATTTAGAACTTATGATGACGCATATTTTTGCTGAAGCATCCAGGTTAGCATCTTTTTCTGTATGCTTTTTTTTTAAATAAAATTAAAAAATAGTTATTTTAAATACAAAACTCTTGAAATTGAGCAAACCAATTTTCAAACTTTTGATTGCATTTGAAAGATCGTGATTTTTTTTCATTTCTGGTAAAAAAAACTGAGAGAGCGTTTTTTGTTTAATTTTTTTTTTCTTTTTAACCGTTCTTAACGTTATATATCAGATGGTCAGGCTAAATCCTGCCTCAAAAAATAGGTTTCAATTTGACATCAACGTGACGTATAACTGGCTGATGGCGAAACTCGCCGTGCCGTTAGTCGAAGGACTTACTTCGCTGGCCCTTGACAACACCGAAAACTACAACTCGCGAAAGACAACCACCAAACACAGCTAATCCTCTAAGTCCCGTTTTGCGGAGGAACTTAGCCGTTTTCACTATAATGAAAACGATCACCACACGCGCCGAAAGTTAAAGTTGTTCGTTGTTCTAAATACTTAGACCGATTTTGGAGTCATCGAACGACCATAGGAAAATAAACTGACGTAGACACGGTGTGCTTCATCTTACTTCAGCTTGTATTGTATTTTGTTGAGAGCATGTGAAGCACTTTTGAAGATAGTGGCATTGTTGGGATGGAGTTCGACGACTTTTCCTCGGCGGGCGCCTAGACGAAGGAGTGCAGCTAGGAACGCAGGAGTGGACAAGTCGCTCACTAATAATATGCGGACAGCTTTGGTTGAGAAGCAGACGAATATGGCCACGTAGACTTTGGTAGGTCCACGATTTCTAACTGCTGACTTCACGTAAAAGGGCCCATAATAGTCGACACCACACACGGGAAACGGACGCGTCGGGGAAACTCGCTTATTAAATTTCCCATATATCTGCTGCATTTAATTGATAATAGCGCTATGTTTGATACCCACTTTTGATGATTGAATGCAGTGATGTAGTGAGAATTTGAAAAATTGTAACTAACAAATTGGACACAGAACATGCCGTAGCAATTTTTTCTCTTATAGTTTTGACCCTTGGGAATCTGCGAAAAATATAAAAGGGTGCGATTTCTCTGAAATTTAAAGAACTAAAAATATTTAATGGATAATAGCTATGAAAAATGGAGTTTTTTTCAAAAATCTCGTCGGGGCAATTTCTAAACAACATTTCCCAGAGTTGCCGCCATACAAAATTTTGTTTGTAATACCCTTAGCTATCATTTGAAGGGTGAGCCCCCAGATTTCCAGACATAGTGCAATTTTGGGACACCCTAACCTGTGTGCAATATGCTTACATGGTAACTGCTAGCCAGCAGAGCAGACAGCGCATGTTTGGCGAACAGAACGATCGAGTGCTTATTAGCGACGGAAAGCGCAGAGTTACTTAGACGACCACCGATGCGAAGAATACCGTCTTCATCCACGAAGGGTTTCAGCCACTTGAGTGCTGAAGATTTGGCGACACGGTCGCCGTCTGATAGATCCGATAACTCCTCGGCGAAAGTTTCATGCTGCGCTAAGCGGCAGAGTAGCTGTTCAGCGTGTTGGAGCTTGATAGTGCATAGTGGAATGACGGACGATGGCTTGAGTTGGCTGCTAACGTTCAACGGGGCAGGATTTGATCCAGAACGGCGCAACGAGATCAATTTACGATGTCTGCTGGTATGAAACCACGAGAAATGTTATCGGTGCGATTCTCGGAACCAGCAATATGCCTCCAGTAGTCGATGTTCGTACTGGTCTGGATCTTGGACACTCGATTACCGACGAATGTCTTCTAACGGGTTGGAGTGGCGCGCAGCCACTGAAGCAAGGTACTGGAGTCTGACCAGAAGCAGACGATGGAGATGCTCTGAAGCGATTCATTGACCTTCTTGAAGAGTTGCGTTGCCAGGTGCGCGTTGCAGAGTTCTAGTCTGGCGATGGAGAGGTGTGTAGACAATGGAGCCATCTTTGACTTCGACGTCAACAGGTGAACTTGTATGTCTTCCACCGATTCCATGCGGACAAAACAGCATGC